TCAGGGGAAATCGCCGAGGCGAATGGAGGCTCCGCGAAAAAAGACTCTGCACCGACCGGGAAACTCCAGCCGAACACCCACGAAAGTAAGAATTCGTTAAAAGTCCTATAAAGATACTCTAACGAAGAATATTGCTTCTCGTGGTTTTCAAGCCTTTGAAAAATTCAGGGGAGGTTTAGAGGCCAAGAAAAAGCCTTTAGAAATTATTCAGGTACCTGAGAAGTTGGGCAAAGTACTACGGAGCGTAGAAAAGGGTCGTGCGTTCCGTGGAGTTAATATTCTCTCCCCGCAGCACAGTGATAAGGCTCCCCGTTGCCCACAGGTGAAGCCTACACAGCTGCCAAGGCTTAGAGGAGACATCCAGGCTCAGGAGAAAATATACAAGCCTCGGAAAAATCCTCCTACCCCCCAGGTGAAGTTGGAAAGTGCTGAGTCGGGTATAGGAAATAGGGAAGGTATTAAGTTTGATGTACCCTATGATCCTATTAAAGAGACCTTCTTTGGCTACTCAGAGCAGCAGAAACCACTACTCCTCGAGGTGTTATGCAATGGGTGACGCCTCCAGGCGCTGGTGGACAGCGGTGCATCTCACTCGGTGTGTGACTGCGGAGCATTGGAGAAAATTGGAGAGAAGGCGGAGGAGACCCAGTTTTCAGCAACCATGGTGGACGGTACGAAACTTCCTATCCACGGCGAAGCATCACTGCAGCTGCATATAGGTGCGTTGAGGTGGAAGCCGAAGCTACCAGTCACCAACATCAAAGGGTTAGATTTTATCTTGGGGCGAGATTTTCTGAAGCGGTTCAACCCTGAGATCGATTGGGTCAACAGCAAGGTGTGCATCTACAACAACGGGAAGCGGATAGCACTGCGAAGCTGGACGGATACAGGGGACGTACCTGAAACGACATTGGCACGGTTCGAACAGACGGTGAACGAGAGTAACACGGGTTACCTAGCACTGGTCATGGCAGCAGCAGAGGAGGAGAAGCCGAGTACCGAGCTCCCTGCAGCAGTGAAGGAGGTCTTGGAGCGGTACAAGGATATAATGCCCGACGACCTACCTGCAGGCATACCTCCAGCACGCACCCACGAGCATGAGATCGTGGAGGAACCAGGTGCGAAACCCGTCTCACGTGCACCATACCGACTGAGTCCGACCGAACTAACAGACATGAAGAAACAGATAGAGTATCTACTGGACAGACAACTGATCCGCCCATCCACCTCTCCCTACGGTGCACCAGTTCTCTTCACTCCAAAACCAGACGGCAGCTTACGGATGTGCATCGACTACCGCGCACTGAACAAACAGACAGTTAAAAACAAATACCCCATACCGCGCATCGACGACTTACTGGACCAACTGCGTGGTGCAGCAGTCTTCTCGAAGCTGGACCTACGGTCGGGTTAATGGCAGATCAAGATGGCGGACAACTCGATCCACAAGACGGCGTTCCGTACTCGATACGGCTCCTACGAATACTTAGTGATGCCGTTCGGACTCTGCAACGCACCAGCAACGTTCCAGGCGGAAATGAACCATATTCTACGGCCCCTGCTGGACGAGTGCGTAGTGGTGTACCTGGACGATATCCTTATCTACTCCAAGAATATGAAGGAGCACGTGGAGCATCTACGGAAGGTCTTCGAGATCCTGCGGAAGAACACGTTCTACGTGAAGCTGTCGAAGAGCGACTTCGCCCTGAAGAAGGTACAGTTTCTCGGGCACATGGTGAGTGCCGAGGGCGTACACGTGGACCCGCGGAAGATCGAAGCTGTCAAGAAGTGGAAAGTTTCGGAGAACGCGAAGGAGTTGCAGCAGTTCCTAGGCTTCCCCATCTACTACAACAGGTTCGTGCCGCAGTACGATAAGATAGCAGCACCACTGACCGACCTACTGAAAAAGGATACGCCCTTCATATGGGATACTCCTCATCAGCAAGCCATGGAACAGTTACAGACAGCACTGACCACAGCACCAGTACTCATCCTACCGGACCCCGAGCAGGACTACGTGGTTGAAGCAGATGCGAGTGACCAGGCAGTCGGGGCAGTACTGATGCAGGATCACGGGAACGGGTTACAGCCTATCGCCTACCTCAGTAAGAAACTGCACGGAGCAGAACTGAACTACCCCATTCACGACAAGGAAGCCTTAGCCATAGTCGTAGCCTTCAAGGCGTGGAGGTGTTACCTAGAGGGAGCCAAGACCACAGTCTATACTGACCACTGCAGTCTCAAATACCTGAAGTCAAAGCCGACGCTCTCGCGACGACAAGTGCAGTGGATGGACATCCTAGAAACTCACTTCCACTACGACATCGTCTACAAGCCCGGGCTACACAACAAAGTAGACGCGTTGAGCCGCCCCGGTCATGTAGCAAGCATCCAGCTCGATGGGATGAACCCTCTGCTCAAGGGTCTATTCCAACATGGGTACTCCGTGGACGCAAAGATCGCTACAGCACAGACTAAGAAGCTGTTACAGTGGGAGAAAGACTTAGCTGTAAGGAAGGGTTCAGGAAAGATTTGGGTACCGAATTACGCCCTGCTACGGCAGATCCTATTGGAGGAATTTCACGACGTACCATACGCGGGACACTTCGGGAGCAACAAGACGTTAGCGGGAATAGCAAAGTATTACTACTGGCCTCGGATGGCAGCAGACGTGCAGCAGTTCGTCACCTCCTGCGACACGTGCCAGCGGATGAAGAGCAGCAAACAGAAAAAAGCAGGGTTACTTCAGCCTTTACCCGTACCGGAGCAGCCATGGCAGGTCGTTAGTCTCGACTTCATCACAGGACTTCCCTCGACCTCACGGGGACATGATTCCATCCTCGTAGTCATCGATAAGTTCTCCAAAATGGGTCACTTCATACCGACCAACGCCACCGCCACAGCTGAAGCAACTGCTCGCCACTTCTTCGACCGCATCATCACCATCCACGGCATCCCCGCTACACTCATCTCAGACAGAGACCCCAAATTCACGAGTAAGTTCTGGAAGGAGCTTATGGGATTATTGGGGACTAAACTTGCGATGTCCTCAGCATACCACCCACAGACTGACGGACAGACCGAGCGACTCAATCAAGTGGTTGAACAGTTATTACGCACAGCTTGCAAGGACGACGTCAGCCACTGGGACACACAGTTACCGACCCTAGAGTTCGCTTACAATAACGCATCACATGCGGCCACAGGGAAAACTCCTTTCTTCCTGTGTTACGGACGAGAACCACTTACACCACAACAGCCAACCACACCGGCACACGTCCAAGCCGCACATGACTTCGTCACCACCATGCAGCAGCTATGGGAGAAGACTCAGCGACGTCTCACCACGATGCAAAACTCCCAGAAGCAGTATGCCAATCGTCAGCGACGAGATCACACAGTAGCAGTCGGAGATCAGGTGCTTCTTGACACACGCAACTTAAACCTGTCTCACCTCCCATCCAAACTTCGGCCTCGCTTCTGTGGTCCTTTTCTCGTGGAGGCACAGGTGACACCAGTTACACTCCGCTTGCGCTTACCAGATACGTGGAAGCTTCACAATGCTTTCCATGTCCAGCTACTGAAACCCTACAAGGATCCCAACCAACAGTTCCAGGGACGGCAGCTCCCGCCACCACCACCTGTTCTCGTACAGGATGAACCTGAGTATGAAGTGGAGCGCGTTCTCTCTCATCGACGCCGCGGCGGCAAGACCCTCGAGTTCCTGATACGCTGGAAGGGATACGACCCCACTGAGGACAGTTGGGTTGCAGACGCTGATATGAGCAACGCACGCCGTGCTCTCAAGGACTATCTTGTCAAGCAGGGTGTATCTCACGCCACCCAGCTTTGAGAGGGGGACGTGTGAGAGTACGACGGCTTATGCCAGCTATGCTTGCTTGCCTTTACTTTATCATGCTATTTCTAGCATAGGATAATTATATGCATGCATGAATTGCGTGATTTCCTAGGCTAGGTGCTTTCCTATATTTTATTATAGTTATAGCACCGAGCTAGGTTGCGTGCACCGAATTCTGGCTTTTCGGTTGCCACCGAATTGCCTTCTACCGAATTCGGGAAGGATCTGTTCGGGACGCTTCGCGACCCGCGGAACCTTCGCGTAACACCTGGTTACGGGGCCTTGTGTCGAGCCTATATATAGCCTCGTGTTGTACTCAGGTGATCATTCAATTCAAATCATCTTTTCTGAGCTCGATCCTAGATCCTCACATCTAGGACCTCCAGCACCAGCAGTTCCAGTACCTCTAGCACCTCCAGCACCAGCAGCACCAGCAGCTCCAGTACCCCTAGCAACTCCAGCACCTCCAGCACCACCAGCTCCAGGTCCTCCGGTAGGAGCTCCGACGACACCAACACCAGAAGGACTCGCAGCACCCCCAGAGTCAGCACCCGAACTCGCAGCACCCCCAGAGTCAGAAGTCTCGGTCTCAGCACTCGCAGGCTCAGTACCCTCAGTCCCAGCACTCTCAGGCTCAATACCCTCACTCGCAGCACCCTGAGACTCAGTACCCTCAGTCACAGCACCCTCCGGCTCAGTACCCTCAATCGCAGCACCCCCAGGCTCAGTACCCTCAGTCCCAGCACCCCCAGGCTCAGTACCCTCAGTCTCTGCTCCAGTGTCCACAGCAGCAGGTTGCAGAGGCGGCGAAGACGGCAGAGGTGGGAACTCGGGGGTGTCAGAACATTATAGCTTATGCTGTTGTGTAGGCTATAGTGGGGTATCCCATAGGGGGTACAACCAATTAGGGTTTCATATTTGTACTCACTTCATTTTCATAGTTCACTCATTCTCGTTCTCATTCTCACATGGAATCAGAGCAGGTCCCCTCCTAGGGACTGTTCCTTGGGCCCACCGAAGCGCGCCTCGAGTCGCGCCTGCCTTTTTTTTAGCGGCCCGTCGAGTCGCACCTAGCGGCCCGTCGCGCCGCCCTTACGGTCGCGTCGAGCCGCCCTAGCGGCTGCGGCGCGCCGCCCTTTTCATGGCCCGTCGCCGCCCTTACCCGCGGCTTTGCGCCGCCCTCACCGGCGGCTTCGCGCCGCCTACGGCCCGTCGCCGCCCTTTTCTGCGGCCCCGCCGCCTCTCTCGTTGCGGCCCCGCCGCCCGTCTTCGCGGCCCTGCCGCCATCTCTCGCTGCGGCCCCGCCGCCACTCACTGCGGCCCCGCCACCCGTCTCAGCGGCCCCGCCGCCCGTCTTCGCGGCCCCGCCGCCTCTCTCGCTGCGGCCCCGCCGCCTCTCACTGCGGCCCCGCCGCCCTACTCAGCGGCCCAGCCGCCCGACTTCGCGGCCCCCCCCCGCTTCTCTCGCTGCGGCCCCGCCGCCTCTCTCGTTGCGGCCCCGCCGCCCTTCACTGCGGCCCCGCCGCTTCTCTGCAGCGGCCCCGCCGCCCGTCTTCGCGGCCCCGCCGCCTCACTACCCAGCGGCCCCGCCGTCCTTCTGCAGCGGCCCCGCCACTCCTCTACAGCGGCCCCGCCGCCCTACGTCAGCGGCCCAGCCGAGCCGCCCAGCAGCAGAGCAGCCGAGCCGCCCCGCCGCCGAGCCGCGCTGCAGCCGAGCCGCCGTGCAGCCGACCGCCCAGCCGCCGAGCCGCCCAGCTGCCGAGCCGCCCAGCCGCCGACCCGCCCAGCCGCCGAGCCGCCCAGCGGCCGAGCCGCCCTGCAGCCGAGCCGCCCGAGCAGCCCTGTCCGGTGAGCACAGACCCTCTGTCACTGCGTGCTCTTCCCCTACTCCTTGCACTGCTGGTCTACTGCTGTCATGGCTACCCCTAGTGTCCTCACTTTTGACGCTGAGGGTCGGGCCATTGACTTTGAGGTCTGGGTAGATGACCTACAGCTGTTCTTACAGTGCGATAGGGCGGACGGCCTCTCTCTCTTTGACCTCACCTCTGGCGCTTCCCCTGCCCCTGCTGCTGATGCTGACGCCACTGTTCGCTCCCAGTGGGCCACGCGCGATGCTGCTGCACGTCTTGCTGTGCGTCGCCACCTCCCTACCTCCGAGCGTGCGCACTTTAGTCAGTACAAGAGTGCTCAGACCTTGTACGCCGCTGTAGTCGCGCGCTACTCCTCCCCTTCCACTGCTGCACTGAGCCGTCTCATGCTGCCGTACCTCTTCCCTGACCTTGCTTCTTTTCCCACCGTTGCTGACCTCATTACGCACCTCCGCACTAGTGACACTCGCTACCGCGCTGCACTTCCTGCTGACTTCTGCACCGCGAACCCCCCCCCCATGTACATCACTCTGTACTTCCTAGTCACTCGCCTCCCTGACTCCCTTCGAGTAGTCAGGGACCACTTTCTCTCAGTCTGTCCCACCACACTCACTGTAGACCTCCTCGAGACGGCCCTCCTCGCGATAGAAAAGAGCATAGTCGCTGTAGGAGCCTCTCGAGGTGACCCGCGCACCCCCATCTTTGAGGGGTGTTCTCCCTCCCCCCTGCTTCCCTCTGTTGCCTCTGCTGCTTCGGCCGACCTCCTTGGTCTTGAGTCGGTCGGTGCGGCGTCTGCCCCTAGCGGGAGACGCCGCCCTGGCAAGGGCAAGGGGGGCAAGGGAGCTGGAGGAGCGGGCGGTGGAGGTGGAGGTGGAGGCAGTGGGGGGAGTGGGGGTAGCGGTGGAGGTGGAGGTGGGGGTGGGGGGTTCGGTGGCGGCAGTGGAGGCGGAGGCCGCGGCGGCGGTGGCGGTGGTAGCGGAGGTGGCGGAGGAGGCGGCGGTGGAGGAGGCGGTGGAGGCGGCGGCGGCAGTGGAGGCAGCGGAGGCGGTGGAGGCGGTGGGGGTGGCGGTGGAGCTGGTCGCGGGTCTTTGCAGAGGAGTGGCTCCGGTGGTGGCTCGCGCCAGCAGCAGCAGCGTGGTCGTGCGACCCTGTCCCCTCAGCAGCTCCGTGAGTGGTACACTGCACGCCAGCGGGGTGGGGGTTTTGGTCCGTGTACCTACGTCCTGCGCACCGGCGACCGTGCGGGTGAGCAGTGTGGGGGTGAGCACCCCACTCCGCGCTGCTTTGGCCGCCTGACGGACGCATGGCGTCACCAGTTCCCGGAGGCCTCCGAGATCCCTCGCTGGGACGAGCTGTCTAGGGCGGGGGTTGCCATCTTTGATCTGGACTTTGATGCTATTCTCTCTGCCATGTATGCTGTGTCTATTAGTGATGAGGGTGACTGTTACCGGTGTCTCCAGCCCGATCCGGGCATTGAGACTGCTGCTCTAGGTACTGGTGAGGCTGCTGCCCTAGGTGCTTACGACGCTGCTGCTCTAGGTGCTGGTGTGTCTGCGTCCTCAGGTACTGGTGAGTCTGCTCTCTCAGGTACCGCGTCGGCTTCGGCCTCCCTCACCTTCACTCTTGACTCTGGGGCGTCTCGCTCCTTCTTTCGGGACCGCACCACACTCACGCCGCTTAGTCGGCCGGTTGCGGTGTCTCTGGCTGACCCCTCTGGGGGTCCGGTCCTGTCTCGTTTCTCCACAGTCCTCCCGTGTCCGGCGGCTCCCTCTGGCACCCTGTCTGGTCTCTACCTCCCCTCGTTCTCGACGAACCTGGTGAGTGGTGCTGACCTACAGGATGCGGGTGTCCACCAGTTCACTCCTGCACGTCAGCGAGTGACCCACTGTACAGAGGCTGGCACAGGCCGACACCTGGCTACGTTCACCCGTCAGCCGGGGTCGAGCCTGTACACTCTGACCACTGCGTCTCCTCCAGTTGCTGAGTCTGGTAGGGTAGTTACGTCGGGTCAGGTGTTTGCTGCGGCGTCCAGGTCTGGTCCTGAGTCTGCCCCCTGTTCGTGTCGTCTCCTGTCTCACGAGACTCTCCTCTGGCACCACCGCCTTGGCCACCCCTCTCTGCTTCGGCTCAGAGGTATGGCCTCCCGTCTTCTTGTGTCCGGTCTCCCCCGGTCCCTCCCTCCCCTTCCTCAGGGCCCTGGCCCTGCCTGTGTCCCCTGTGTCGAGGGGCGCCAGCGTGCTGCCCCTCACTCCTCCCAGTTTCCTTCGACAGAGGCCCCGTTGCAGACACTTCACATGGACGTGTGGGGCCCAGCCCGCGTCCGTGGACAGGGTCACGAGCGCTACTTCCTGCTCGTTGTTGACGACTACTCGCGTTACACCACAGTCTTCCCCTTGCGCAGCAAGGGTGATGTCACTGATGTGCTGATCGACTGGATCCGCGCAGCTCGTCTCCAGCTCACGCAGAGCTTCGGCTCGGACTTTCCTGTTCTGCGTCTGCACTCGGACAGAGGCGGAGAGTTCTCCTCTGGCCTTCTGCGTGCCTACTGTCGTGCACGGGGCATCCGTCAGACCTTCACGCTTCCGGACTCACCGCAGCAAAATGGGATTGCTGAGCGCCGCATTGGCATGGTCATGGACGTCGCTCGTACGTCTATGATGCATGCGGCTGCCCCCCATTTTCTGTGGCCGTTTGCGGTGAGGTACGCGGCGCATCAGATCAACCTCCACCCCAGGGTCTCCAGGCCGGAGACCTCCCCAGCCTTGCTGTGGACGGGGAAGGTTGGCGATGCGTCGGCGTTCCGGGTCTGGGGATCTCGGGCGTTTGTCCGCGACCTGTCTGCGGACAAACTATCCCCTCGTGCTGCTCCTTGCGTCTTCCTGGGGTTCCCCCCTGACGCGCCTGGGTGGCAGTTTTACCACCCCACCTCTCGCCGTGTTCTGTCCTCCCAGGACGTCACGTTTGACGAGTCGGTCCCCTACTACCGCCTCTTCCCCTACCGCACTCCGTCCCTCCCCCCACCCCCACTCTTCTTGGTACCAGGTCCCCCCCAGGCAGACCCCCTCCCCCCTCAGGGTCCTGCCCCTTCAGGTGTGTCCCAGGTAGACGCAGTCGAGCCTGTCGAGGTCACTGGTGACTCTGGTGCTGCTGAGGGTGCTGAGGCTGGGGGTGCTGTACCTGGGGGTGCTGAGCCTAGGGGTGCTGAGCCTGGGGGTGCTGAGCCTAGGGGTGCTGAGCCTGGGGGTGCTGAGCCTGGGGGTGCTGAGCCTAGGGGTGCTGAGCCTGGGGGTGCTGAGCCTAGGGGTGCTACGTCTGGGGGTGCTGAGCCTAGGGGTGCTACGCCTGGGGGTGCTGAGCCTGGAGGTGCTCCGCCTGGAGGTTCTCCGAGTGCTTCGTCTCGCCGGGAGCCACTTTCTCCACAGGAGCTGCGTGAGTGGTTTGCCCGGCGCTGGAGGCGTGCTGCTGGTGCTGGAGGTCCTTCTTCTGCTGAGGGTGCTGCGGTCGCGGGTCCCGGAGGTGCTCGTCCTGAGTGCACTGGAGCTGGTGCTGCTGAGGGTGTTGGCGCTGAGACTACCGCTGGCAGTCCTACTGGGGGTGCTCCTGGTGCTGCTGGAGGTTCTGGAGCTACTGGTGGTGCAGCTGGAGCGGGTGCTCCTGCTGAGGGTTCTGGTGCTGTCCCTGCTGCTTCTAGCGTCGCCGCGCGGCCTCGACCGTACTTCGTTCCACTCCTGCAGCAGGTTCTTGGTCTTCCACCTTCTACTGGTCCTCCTCCTCCCTTAGAGTGTCCACAGCCTGTCTCGTCCCAGCTACAGTTGCAGCCTACCTCCCCTTTGCCTGCTCCTTCTCCCTACACTGGTCCTACTGGAGGTCTGGCTGAGCGTCGTGAGCCTGCGTCTCGCCCTGCGTCGCCTGTCCGTGCTGCTCGCACTAGTGGTCGCGGTTCGCGTCAGCGTCCTCCTCCTGTCCCTGGCACGCACCGGATGTCTCTGCGTCCGTCCACTGCTCCTCTGCGTGCCCCTTTGCCTTCTCCTCCTGAGTCCTCTCTTCCTGCTCTTGCCGACCCGGAGTCGGACTCTCTTCGTGCTGCCAGTCCTACTGTCACGCGTCTCCTTGCTACTGTTGTCACTGACCCTTCTTTCGAGTCTACTGCTGCGTCTGCTCTCGTTACTGAGCTCGTCGACTTTGCTGCTCGCTGTCGCTTAGACTACGCTGCTAGTCTTGTCGCTGAGTCTGAGTCTGTCTGTCCTCCATCCGTCGGGGGTGAGTGTGCCCTTGGCACGGACGTCCTTGAGGACAGGCAGGAGGAGTTCCAGTGTCTGGCAGCTGCCTCACCTCATCTCGTGTCCGTACTGCTTACCCCTGAGGGAGACCCGGATGCACTTGACATCCCGACTCCGCGCTCTTACGCGGAGGCGATAGAGGGTCCCTACTCCTCTCAGTGGCAGGCAGCTATGGATGCAGAGATGGCTTCCTGGAAGTCCACAGGCACCTACGTTGACGCTGTCCCCCCTCCTGGGGCGAACATCGTCAGTGGCATGTGGATCTTCAGGGTGAAGCGGCCGCCGGGTTCTCCGCCTGTCTTCAAGGCGCGTTACGTGGCTCGTGGCTTCAGTCAGCGGCAGGGAGTTGACTACTTTCAGACCTTCTCTCCCACCCCGAAGACGACCACTCTTCGGGTACTGCTGCACGTTGCTGCTCACCGTGACTACGAGCTGCACTCTCTTGACTTCAGCACAGCTTTCTTGCAGGGCAGCCTGCACGAGGAGATCTGGCTGCGTCGCCCACCTGGCTTCACTGGGTCTTTCCCTCCTGGTACCCAGTGGAGTCTCCGGCGTCCAGTCTACGGTCTCTGCCAGGCGCCACGTGAGTGGCACGACACACTGAGGACTACGCTTGCGGCTCTTGGGTTTGCTCCTTCTACTGCCGACCCGTCGCTGTTTCTACGCACCGACACCTCTCTGCCGCCGTTCTACATCCTCGTGTACGTCGACGACTTGGTCTTTGCCACAGCTGACACTGCTGGACTCGCCTACGTGAAGTCCGAGCTGCAGAAGAGACACACGTGCACAGACCTGGGTGAACTGCGCAGCTACCTTGGCTTGCAGATCACCCGGGACAGAGCACGCCGCACCATTACCCTGACTCAGTCACACATGGTGCAGCAGGTCCTTCAGCGCTTCGGCTTCACGTACTCCTCGCCTCAGGCCACTCCTCTGTCTACTCGCCACTCGCTCTCAGCTCTGCCTTCGGATGAGTCCGTAGAGTCGAGTGGCCCGTACCCAGAGCTTGTTGGCTGCCTCATGTACCTGATGACCTGCACACGACCTGACCTTGCATACCCTCTTAGCATTCTTGCACGCTATGTTGCTCCTGGGAGACACAGACCAGAGCACATGGCTGCAGCGAAGAGGGTGTTGCGCTACTTGTGCAGTACGTCGGGCATGGGGCTAGTGCTTGGAGGGCGGAGTCCAGTGGTCCTCACTGGGCACGCGGACGCTTCTTGGGCTGACGACCAGGCTACGCAGCGGTCGTCACAGGGTTACACCTTCAGCCTTGGTTCCGGCTCTGTTTCGTGGCGGGCTACTCGCTCGTCTTCTGTTCTTGGCTCGAGTTGTGAGGCTGAGATCTACGCCGGGGCCATGGCTGCACAGGAGCTTCGCTGGCTCACCTACCTGCTGACCGACCTTGGAGAGCCGCCTCGTTCTCCCCCAGTCCTGTACGTAGACAACAAGGCCATGCTGGCCTTGTGTCGAGAGCAGCGACTGGAGCACAGAACAAAGCACATTGCTCTCCGCTACTTCCTTGCTCGTGAGCTACAGCAACGTGGACAGTTGCGGCTTGCGTACGTGGCCTCTGAGGCCAACACTGCTGATGTCTTCACCAAGGCACTTCCGCCTTGTGATCATCAGCGCTTCTGCACTCAGCTGGGTCTTGTGCCCGTCTTGCCTCACTTGCTCTCCTCTTGACCTTGCTTGTACTCTCACATATATATATACCTGCTCTTACTTGTCTAGCTTTATATATATGTGTGTACTCTTGCATGTGAACTGGCCGTGTGGCCTTGACCCTGTGCTCGGACTGTGTGGTGACTTTGTGATCCACCCTGAGCTTGCTTTGCTTTGCTTTGCTTGACTGGTCTTGTGACCCCTTGTTCTCCCCCACTTTGCCTATGGGGGTGTGTCAGAACATTATAGCTTATGCTGTTGTGTAGGCTATAGTGGGGTATCCCATAGGGGGTACAACCAATTAGGGTTTCATATTTGTACTCACTTCATTTTCATAGTTCACTCATTCTCGTTCTCATTCTCACAGGGGGGAGTAGCCAGACGAGGAGAGCGGGCACCCCCAGACTCACCACCCCCAGCCCCGGCTCCAGTAGTCTCAGCTCCAGAGTCCACAGCAGCAGGCTGCGGAGGCGGCGAACACGGCCGTGGCGGGAAACCCGGGGGGGTCTCCAAGCGAGGAGTGCGGCGAGTGGTCGCCGTGTCGTCGGCGACGGCCCCACCCCCCTCAGGTGAGTCAGAGGAGTCAGAAGAGATCTCAACTGGCTCATCCACAGGGGGTGGGTCTACCTGAGACACACCTGAGGGAGCAAGACCCTGTGGGGGAAGGGGGTCTACCGGGGGGGGACTGGTACCAGGAAGAGAGGTGCGAGGGGGGCCGAGTGGGACGCGTGCGGGTGAAGTCGGTAGTAACAGACCGGCTCGTCGAAGGTGACGTCCTGAGAGGACAGAACACGACGCGAGGCAGGGTGGTAGAACTGCCAGGGTGGAATGTCGGTGGGGAAGCCTAGGAAGACACAGCGGAGAGTGCGAGGGGAGAGCTTGCTCGTTTTGGTATCGCGAACAAGGGAGAGCGCGCCCCAGACCCGAAACGACGACGCATCACCAGGCTGTCCCGTCCAACGGAGTGTGGGCAAGGTCTCTGGAGCAGAGACATGGGGCCAGAGGTTGAGCTGATGCGCGGCGTATCGGACCGCAAACGGCCACAGGAAATGGGGAGCAGCCGCATGGATCATGGAGGTACGAGCAACCTCCATGATCAGGCCAATGCGACGCTCAGCGATCTCATTTTGCTGCGGAGAGGCCGGAAGCGTGAACGACAGGGCGATGCCCTCATCCTAGCAGAACGTCTCAAGGACGCCAGAGGAGAACTCACCACCCCTGTCAGAGTGCAGACGCAGGACTGGAAAGTCCCTCCGAAGACACCACTGACATCCGCCTTGCGCCGCAAGGGGAAGACTGTGGTGTAGCATGTGTAGTCGTCAACCACCAGCAGGAAGTAGCGCTCCTGGTCCGTTCCACCGACGGGGGCCGGGCCCCACACGTCCAGGTGGAGAGTCTGCAGAGGAGCAGTGGTCGGAGGAAACTCGGAGGAGTGAGGAGCGGCGCGCTGCCGCCCCTCGACGCAAGGAAGGCACGGCAGCGCAAGCGAGCGCGGGAGGGGGGGCAGGGTCGCAGGGAGGCCAGAGACCAGGAGCCGGGAGTGCATACCGCGCAGACGCAGCTGCGACGGGTGACCAAGACAGTGGTGCCAAAGCTGCGCAGGGTGGGTGAGGAGGCGACACGAGCAGGACGCAGCGAGTTGACCGGACGCAGCCACCTGACCAGACGCAGCTACCTGTGCAGACGCTGTGGTGAGTGTGTACAGGTTCGACCCCGGCCGTCGTGTGAACGTAGCCAGGTGACAGCCTGTCTTGGCGCATGTGCAGATCGCCACACGCTGACCTCCAGGAGTAAAGGTGTTTACCCATACATCCTGAAGGACGGCGTTGCTCACCAGGTTCGTCGAGAACGAGGGGAGGTGGAGACCGGACAGAGAGCCAGAGGGGATAGCTGGGCACGGGAGAACAGTGGACTGGCGTGCAACCACCGGGCCCCCAGAGGGGTCCGCCAGTGAGACTGGGACTGGTGTAGTGAGTGGGGTGACAGTGGTGCAGTCGCGAAAGAAGCAACGGGACGCACCAGAGTCAAGTGTGAAAGTGTGCAAGACCTCAGCAGTATCAGCAGACTCACTAGCACCTGGGGCAGTAGCGACACTAGCACCTAGGGCGGCAGCAGACTCACTAGCACCTGGGGGAGCAGCATCACCACCAGCATCGCATGGCACACACGAGTAACACGCACCCTCAACACTATAATCAGCAACATACATGGCATAAAGAGCAGCATTGATCTTAGCAAAGTCAAGAGCAAACACATCTACCCCCTTCCCCATCAGCTGCAGCCAGTTCGGCACCTGCTGGTCCTCGGAGTACTCAGACACCCAGGCGTTCTCAAGACGGCCGAAGCACTTGTACTCAGTGTGCGGCTTCCTGCAGACTGTGCCCTT